GAAGGAAGGAAGGAAGGAAGGAAGGAAGGAAGGAAGGAAGGAAGGAAGGAAGGAAGGAAGGAAGGAAGGAAGGAAGGAAGGAAGGAAGAGAGAGAGAAAGAGAGAAAAAGAAAGAAAGAAAAAGACTCAAAACTAGCCATGTGTTTTAAAGTCTAATCCAGCAGCACTAGAAGTCAAAACTAAGAAGTGAAAATAAAAAAAATGTCTCTGAAATCTTGGCAGCTGGGAAGACTGCATCCTACTGCTACAAATGACACAGCCTGGCTCCCAGTTGAGGCCCCCCAAAAGCAAATAAACAAACTAAAAAGGGGCATTTCCCTAAAATCTATGGATTTCATGTGTTGGAAGCGAGCAAATTGTGCAGTACTGCAACCCCCTTCCCCGGCCACGCGATCCGTGCCAGGGCGAGCGGGCACTGCGGGTGCTCGTGAGCTCAAGGTGTGTGCTCAACACCCTGCGGGATTTGTGGGGACCCAGGCAGGCTCTGCACTTGACCCGGCAACCTGACAGCCCATGACCCACGTCAGGGCTGGCAGGTCCCCCGGAGCGGTGGCCAGGTCAGGAACATCCCAGCATCCCTTCCCAGCATCCGCAGCCACCGAGTTTGCAGGGCGAACAAAAGGCATGTTTCCAGCGAGCAGATAGGAAACCCTCCCAGCCTTATATCCCCCCTTCACTCACCCTTATATTCCCCCTTTCTTCCTTCCATCTACTACATTTTTTTTTCCAGGGACAGGCTGGCGGGGGGACGTTTCACTAATCTTTTCTTTTTTTCCCTTCCCCAATGGTAATTAAGAGCGCGAGCACCGGCTAGGCTAGAGCGAACGCAAACAAGACCCCTATAGGCAGCGCGGTGCATTAATGCAAAATATGCCCAGACAACATAACTTGTCAGAGAGGATTATTTCTGCTTAGTGAATCTGCAGGGGCCCCTTTGCTCCGCCACTCAGCGGCCGCCGAGCGAGCGTGAGCGAGCAAGAGTAGCCATTAGCGAGCGGCTCCCACGGCATTGATGTTTGAGCGCGCTTCTGAGCCGGCTTTTGTTGCGAACCGCGGCGCAGAAAGCATGCGCTGTCCCAAATCCGCTGTTACCATGAGAAATGCTGAGCTGCTTTTCA